ATCATTCCATTTTTTTCTACTTCATCAATGCGATCCTTTTGATAAAACATCGAAGGCACTGCGCACGTTCATCTCATGTCGAGAAGACTTCCTTTAAAATGGTAGCCCTGTCCGTAAGCATAGAGGATGCACTAATTGCGCAGCTCAAAAATACGTGATTAAAGCCCGACCTACTCGTGACGGTGCTCAGCTCCGCCCACCGGACACGGCAACACCCAACTTCCATTTCCAAGCTTCCTGATGGTACGGTGGTTCGCGTCAACCTCTCCTCATTTCAAATGGTGGGAGTAAGGTTATATGGTGAAAAAGCTGGTAAAACGAGTGATAACTCGTCAAACCACACCCTTTCTTCGTCCTATGCACATAGAAGCTAGGTTCGCACCGAAAGCCGAGCAAGAGTCGTGATTTGTCGGTTCGTCGCGCGCGGCAATGGGCGCGACGTTTCAATCCGCACTACTTCGCGTAGAAAAGGGTATGAGAGTGGTATTGGTCGAGAATAGACACTGTAGGACCAAGAATAGACATAAGTGAAAAGGGAGACACTTATGTCTATTTCTTGGTCATACATTGTCTATTCTCGACCAATACCACCTAAAATCGTCGTCATTAGCGGGCGCGACGTCGCACGCGACGCTCACTGGCGCGGCGAATTACGATTCCTTTGCCACTACCCGCTCGCACGAAGCTCCATGTAGAGCATTCGGGCGGATTTTTCGGAGATTTTTGGAAGAAACGTTGGGCAACAAAACATAGGATAACAATTTATTTAACAAGCAACCTGTGATAGCAGGCGCTTCAACGTTCCATCATTGCTTTCAACACAACGGGGATTTCAACAATATTGGCAGCCATGAAATGCGGAAAGAATGGGTGAGGTTCATTCCAAAATAGAGCTTATGCCATATAAAAATAAACAAACAAAATTTCGAACAAACTTGAATATAACTTACTCTATATAAGCGCACAAGAGGAAATAAAACAACAGTCCATCAAGGCGACATTGGGAAATTACCAACCCAAACAATCCGAAAATCAAGGAAATGTACCCAGGCTCAGGACGCAGACATAAAAATGTTGTAGTAGCTACAATGCAGGGTTTCCAAATAAATTGGCATCAACACCTATAACGTTGTAACAGCAAATATAATAAGGAAACCACAACAATAGCGCGCACGCGTTCTCGGCACACAAACAACGGCAACACCAATTATTGACAATCTAACATAGAACTCTAACAACCAGTATAGTATACCATCCGGGAACATAATTTAGAACACTGGTACTCCATAAGTAACTGATAAAAAAATCAAAATCTGAAAACAAAAACTTGGACACTTTGTACCAGTGTTCCTGAATATTCTTTCCTAACAAGGTAACAACGTATGATGGCGCAACAGATAACAACTTGGGGACCATTCACCCTTCAATGCCCCTCTTCAAAGATTCGGACCGGATTTTGCTCGAGATTTCTCCTCGAGAGCTGATTTAGCTAGAATTATGCCCCTGACCTGCTTAGCGTGAAACTCTTGGCGCCCGCGCCACAGGCAGGTTAGCCTGCAAGGCCGGTAAATGTGACGCGAGCGCCATGAGTTCTCGCGTTAATCATGTGTGGTATTCGTATTCAGGTGTCAAAGTACCTTGTGGTACGCAATTCTATTCAAATCGGCTCTCGAGGAGAAATTTCGAGCGAAATTCTTCCTGAGTCTCTAGAAAAAGGGCACCAAATGGTAAATACTGCCAGAATATGAATTTTCGATTTTTCTTTTATAAAGCATAGACGCGTTGCACACTGGAGCAAGCGCTTCAAAATAGCTATGATAGCAGGGTTTTGGTTGAGCAGTGATGAAACACGAAAGATAGATGTAGCCGTAACAAGAAAACCAACAAAGTCACTAATGAATTTGAAAAAAAATATTGACAACGCTAAGATGTTTCCACAAATGTTTTTACATCACCTTTTCAAAACAACAACAACTGTGCGTAACGACACACATAACAGTAACAGGAATCGTACGCACAGAGTATTATAGAAGAACAAGGCGACGACTGTGTCGTAGTGGCAATTTCAAGCATAAAAAAGTGGGCCACAATTAGTGAAATGTTGTTGTTCTTATTACATGTTCTTGTTCAGCAGGTCCAATATTGGAGTCCATAACTCACGATTCGAACAAAGTGATAGTATTGAACGTTGAATATCTCGACGCTTGTTCTTCACCGTGAAGTCCGGATACTCAGCCGTGAAGTCGAATACGTCCAACTGAATGGAATTTTTCAGTGACCTCAGAAGTCTCTTTTTCACTCACGCTCGCACTCAAACGCTTCTGGGACACACAAGGGGTGAATGAGTAACGCATTTTACAGGTATCTGTCAGGCTTCCGTGGTCAATGACGTGTTTAATACCATTGTTGAGCGAACTCCATTATAGGGTTCGTAATGGATCGTTGAGTACGCTGCGCGCTCTATACACTTTCTTAGTCTGAGCAGTGGCAAAACTTCCTATGTAGATATTGTACGCTGCTTATTGCTGTTGTTGCTGTTGAACTAAATTATATTGTTCCTTTTATTCTGCTACCTATTATTTACTAATCCTTCTTGTTGCTCCATTGATCGGAGTCAATCCATACTGGTTCGTCATCACCATAGCCTCAACGTCTAGATCTTTCATGAATCGAACATGATCGCGCGGGAAGCGACAACCCCTGTCCTCCTGCTACAGAAGGAGGAGGATAGTGGGCTCTATCAGTTGTTCGATTCAGTTCTTCGTGTCCTGCTCCGCCAACCGGCACCCTTCCGCCACCCTCTTGTGCTTTTGTGTTCTAATCGATGAATTACGTGACCGCGGGATCGCATATACCGGACCTCCGACTAACACAACCACCAATCCCACGTGGGGGTCGTACCGGGATGACAGGCCGGCCGCCGTTTATTTGAACCACATGATGGACGCGTTGGAACGTCTTTTACAGTGCGGAGGAACTCTGGATCTCGCATCGTCGCTCCACCGTACGAGAAGCGACTGTGCGAGATGTGGTACACAGTGAAAAAGAACGGCACAACAACCAGCTGCAACACGACAACGAAGGATCGCAGAGAGAAGAGGCAGAGATTGTGAAGCCGCACGTGATGTACGCTTGAGACGCGAAAAGGGAAAGTAATCAGCAAGCACACCTGTCGAAGCAGTCATTAAACAAGAAGCTGAAGTTGTCAAGAGAAGGCCGTAGGAGCCTGCCTCCCAAGGAGCAGCGCGTAGATAGCACACACTGTTGTTGATGTTGAACTGCGTTATGTTGTTTCTGCTATACTGCTGTTCACTGTTATTTTCCCACCCTTCTTGTTGCTGCATTCATGGCTGTTAATCAGTACTATTTCGTCACCACCATAGCCTTCATCTCCAATGAATCAAACATGATCGCGCTAGAGGGGATAAGCCTCGCCCTCGTGCTATAAAAGGGGTTAGCTGGCTGTACCAGGGTTACGTGACATCTTGAACTCTAGTGCATGGTCTTGTTACGAAACCCTGTAACGCATACGGACAGAGGAAGCGGTTGCCAAAGAATCGTAACGTTTAAGGAATACATGGCGAGCCAGGAAACGGGCTTTCAAGGGGAGGGGACTCCGTGGTGGGTGAGCTACTTACAATCGGAAAAGCTGGAATGTGCGAAGTCACAACGGCCATAGAGTGCCATGCGGACGAGAGAGTGCAGAGAAAAAGAGAAGATCGACGCGTTCAAAGGGATTGAGTTCGAGTTGTCCGTAGACCCTCTATCACTTCAATTCAGTTCTTCATCTGCTGTTCCGCCAGCCAACCTTTTCTGCTGTCCTCTTGTCGAGCAAAAGTGGGGCTGCATACAGCGTCCCTCCCACCGACCAGCCACCAATCCCACATCGTTTCTAATAGTCACTTGGAGATTACCCTCTCCGCGAAACTTTGAGAACAGTTGATAAGTGGGCAGTGGTTGATAAGTAGACTCTTAAAGAGAAGTGCCGAAAGCGAAACGTTTAAATGGTCGCGCTGACGTGGCCATTTCACTCATCCGGTGCTGTAACTTGTTTTATCCGCTCATTGTTACGTAAACTTACCAACTGAGAAATTCCTAACATTCCTTTGCGTACCATATAGTTCGTGTCATGGATTGGTATGTTTATAGAAATTAACAACAATGCGCCCCCTTCCCAATCAAAGGGAGCTAGTGTCGAATTCCCATTCTTGAGAGAACTACCCTGCTTCGTCAAAGACAAAAGCATCCGTTTGTCATTAGAAGGCCTTGGTAATCGTAATGGAAAGAGCAATAATGGGCACGCCTGTTGAATGCAAACAAAAAAAAACATGCCCTTTCGTTCTTCAGTGAATTACGGATGTAATTAGCACGCGCTGCAAGAGATATCTCAATGGACATTTTGAAAAAACAGACCAGATTACGTCTCTGCTTGGCTATACAAATAGCTATCGGCTTTGAGAAGTTGGTACTGTATTTTAACTACTCCTAGCGGTCAATGGATTACCCGATGCACTGGTGCTGAACAACCTCTACTTCTACTGGCTCTCTTGCGGAATTCAGGTTTCCACAATCAAAGTACATGAAACAAAGACGAAATCAGGTGCTAGTAAGCTGGAGAGGATGAGGGATAGGTCATCTGAGGGTCTCTCTATAAAACAGGGATCACAGCAATGAAGATGAGGACTTTTCTCTAAGCTTAAAGGGAGGGGCTTCAGGGTGGTGGACTAATTTAACTCAATGCGGACCGCCATTACGAGGATCTCCTTATCATTTCGTCACTTTTTACACAAGTAGTTCGGGACTTCATATGTTTTCTTCACTTTCGTATGAGATGTATTATTCTGTTTTGAAACGTTTTCTGATAATTTAGAATAAGAAATTGATGCCAAATAGACCATAACCAGCTCTGGGAGAGCACGTATGAACCACATTGTGTGACAACGTTTCGGAATGTGCTAAAGAACGGTACTTCGACTAAGATGACGCATTCACCAGTTTTGTCAGGAAACAGCCAAAGTGATGAAATTACGGGTCTGTTTAATAGTTGGACTGAGAAAAATACCCACATTAGATGGTGGTGCGAGAAGAAATCGTCGAGCAAATTCAACGATATACAGTCCACAGTCGTAGTTGTTGCTCTGTTGAGGCAGGCGCTCAGGGACAATGCAGCGCATCCTTTCCATGGAACAAAGTGGCTGCTGGCGACGTCGTAGCCACACGTACTAGAAATATTACCGAATTCAGAATTTTTCCACATAGCGCTGAGACTCTAAATTACCTTTAGAAAATCATCACAGAGAATAGAGATGTTTTGCATATTGTTCGGATCCTCACTTAGCTGAGAGTCAAAGCAAAGCATTCTTGCGCGAGCGGTGAAAGGATGGCATACAATCACCAACGACCTGGAAAGCACTTGTCAGTAAGAGCTCAAGGACAGTATATGGATCACTTTCGAGGTGGATCCTTCCCACGTGCGAGGGTGGGCAGGTATTAGCCGTAAAAGTGTAGCACCTACAGCAGCCGAATTATCACAAAGATGAAGCTGGAAGGTTGGTACAGTTCAATGTACAAGTCACACACTGTGGGCATGTTGGCAACACGTTCGTAGCCCACGTCGGGTGGTTGAAGGGGAGGAGGCGTGGGGAGGAGCAGAAAGAATACGCAGCAATCACAACCCTCTAGAATGGCACACCTCCACAGCTAAGGACCTACCCTCCTAAAACTTGGTAAAGACCTAGCTGGTAAATACACGCCTCCTTACACGTTTCCAGGGCAGCGGATGCGAAAAGAAACGGAAACTTAAGCGCAAGTATCAACGAGCCAACAATTCATATCAGTTTGGTACAAAAGCCAAACTTGAACGTACAACGAACTGTTGACCTGTTGACAAGAAAACAGAATTGCCAAACTAACCAATGTTCCCACTCATTTACAGGTACAACGATATAGTCAACATCGATAAAATCGAAATCTTCTACAAAGTCCAAAACATCTCCGAATCGGGCATCAAGCTGAAAAAAATCGCCATAAGATTTGCCATCCACGGGTACAGTCGTTATCACTGAAGTCGGTCGAGGCGGGTCAGCGGGGTATGAGTTTTGGAGAAGCAGTACGCTCTCTCGTTGAATACCCGAAGCCGACACGATCGATGGGAAACGGGTTGGAGCAACGAAAAACCCAAGCATCGCTGACACGCCCCGACTGACTCCAGCGATAGCGACTGTAGTTTCAACAAAGTGTTACCATTGCATCTCGAGCACGAACCACTAAATATGATACCTTTTGATCATCAGTAAGAGTAACGTCTGCGTCATCAACCTGGGCTCCAGAATGAAGTATTGACAAGTTGTGCCAAAACACTGAAGGAAGTACAGTGACTCGTTTGTTCCTAAAAACAGCAAATTTACGTTTACTGTAAAACACCTAGGAGTTAGATCTGACGTTGAATATTCAAGATCATCAGTAGTGTTTCTCATAACTTTTTCAAGGAGCATGTGATGCGAGCCCAAGTCTATTTGAGGACCTGGGACGCGATGGCAGATTGTGTTTAGTAGGGTCCAAATATCAGTTCAGGCTAAGTGACTTACCAGTACAGAAAGGAACAAAATAGCTCCTTCGAAACGTTCGAATGGGGCTCGGTTGGCATTACGGAAGCATAGAGACTAGACGCAGAGGCGCTATGCAGGCGGATAAGAAACAGGAGCCAGCAGCTGGAGAGAGGGGATGTAGATACTCGAAAAAAGCAGGACATATTAGTAGTACGGGCGGAGCGAGAATGAGGAAGGCGTGATCAGACTCGAACCACATGCCTCTTGCATTCTTACCGCGCATTTTTGAAAACTAAATTAGCCATGATGAGCGGCTGCTGAACTACCTCAAAAAAGCGGAAGTGATTACACTAACCATAACTGTGGGAGGTGTTTAACCATTATACTAACGACATGGGAAACACTTCATTGCTGCTAATTCAGAGCTATAGAACAAGTAAAGAGCAAGGTATAAGTGCAGTTCTGTAGCAAGGAAAAGAAGCAATGAAAAACTAACGGCTCATCAGGAAGAATGTGCTCAACAACATGGTTAAGATAGAAATCCACAATCGTGTCGTTGAGTAAATCCTGTAAAGAACGAAATATCGGATCCAGTTGCGATACGTAAATAAAAAAAATTGTTTCAAAGAGATTTGCTCAGCTTTACATGCTTACGAGAATTGCTTGCGAAAAATTTTTCTTTATGTTGAAAATAGTCAAAAGTGTCTTAAACCCTGCTGCAAGCACTCGAAAACGAGACTTGCAAATGACTCAGTGGAGGTCAGACTCATTTAGAACCCTGTATTTTGCCTCTACTAGATGTTCGTGCTTGCATGTGGAAGCTACACACAAGGTGCACTGCGAAATGCCCTTCCCGCGGATTAAGAGCGATGGATTTTAGCGAGTCAACGTCGAGCCCTGATGAGTAATTTTCTACCAATTCGTCAACCCATGGATGTTTACATATTCCTGGCCGAAGCTCGTGGAATTCCTTGGAAAGGTAGTACCATGCCAAAACTGCTGAGTTGTAGATGATACTTGGCTTCAACTCGAGAACACGATGCGGCTGCTATCATAAAAATGCTGGTCTGTGAAAAAAGGGAGAGCAAAATTCTGTGGGAGGATTAGGACTCTCTTGTGGTGCTGACAATGTACTCCAAGGTAACCATACGCAGAACTTTAAACTAGGCTCACACGAACTGGTACTGAACTAAACTGCCAGGTAACTGCTGAATCGCCACAAGCTACACCAGAAAGATCGTAATTTCTGATGAAAATATAACTATTGTTATAATCAGTTATTGAAACCAGCAGTGAAGGCAGGATCCAGGATTCGGGTGGATGCGGCTAACTGTAGTATTTCAGATCGCTGAAGAAGGTGCTAGGCACCGAAATATTCGAAGGAAGTATTAGAAACAATAAAATTTTTTGCAAGAACTTTTGGATTCTTTTGAGTCTTTTGAGTTTTTTGCAATAAAATTTTTGAAGCCTTTTTATGTATTTTACATTCAGAAAATATAAATATAATTGCATAAAAACACTTTCTGAACTTACGTTCTCCTGAAGGCATAAAAAGTCAGCCAGGCGAACACTGATGGACTGAAACGGAAATCGAATTCGCAGCATCTCTGACGAAGCTGTGAGCTCTACATATCCGCTCTGAAACAGTCCTCTTCAGTCAGTGGAAGACGAAAAATGAGAACAGTTTGCTTTCTCTATTTTTTTGTGTTCTTTCTTTATATAGGCTGTGAGCTCTACATATCCGCTCTGAAACAGTCCTCTTCAGTCAGTGGAAGACGAAAAATGAGAACAGTTTGCTTTCACTATTTTTTTGTGTTCTTTCTTTATATAGTTTTGTAGTTCTTGCGCTTCTCCCGCTACTACCAGGCTACTCGTTGTTCCACAGCCATAACTTATTAGCACTATTAGCATTACCGGCATCTGGAGCCTTATCAGTTAATGGTCCCTCGGTAGAAGTTCAAACAAAGACCTTCGCTTTTACAATGCGATAGGACCCATGCTGCCTTATGACGAAAGTTCTCGGAAAGATGTACAAATCCACAATGGCCTACATAGTTACTCAAAAAAGTAAAAACCATCAAAAGTCACAAGTCAGACGCGTTCACGTCATCAAACTAGTCTTCCACTACTTCAGTACTCTTGTTGAAACAACTTTTTCTCATTCAACGCATTTCCCCTATTGATGAATTGCCCTCGCAAACCCGCAATTTCACTAACAAAGTATTATAAATGGCGTTTTCTTTTCCCAAAGTTTCCTGACTAGCGCTCAGCGCTATTGGCTAAACTGGAAGGTATTTTTATTAGTGCGTTCATAATTTGCGGCAGCGTTTTGAATGACTAGTAAAAAGTATCGATCCAGCGTTTCAATCGTTTGGCAGATTGTTTTCAGCTTTTTCGGGGGCAGTCGTTGGATACGTTGCGTACGCTCTGAATGCTGAAAACCCCGGCGCGAAGTATGAAAGCAACTATGAGGGCTTTTCAGCCTCTGAAAACTGATGACTGTGGGGAGGTCGCCTTACCAACAAACGAAACTACGAGGGGTTATTTTCGGTAAAAAACCACAATATATTTTGGCCAGAAAAAGGTCTGACAGAGTTCAGCTTTGGAATTCGGTTTTACATAACAACTGCATTCGAACGTAACAAAGTCGTCGTGTAGGCGTTGGAATGCTGATTCAGGCGAAGAAAAAACAAACTGGTGAGTTGGTATTACAACCCTGCCATTTCATCGCCAGTCAGCGTCAAGGAAAGATATCAAAAATCAGAAAGTAAAGATATGTCAGTCTATTCAACCGAAAGAAACCCACAAATCCGTGAGGTTCAAGTCCTCGAGAAGTCGAGAACGATACGCTCACCAAAAACCTCCGACAAAACCGAAAGCGTGGAAATTTTGTTCTCAAAATGATCTGGGCTTCACCGTTCCCAATCAATTCGATTTTGATTAAAGCCACGAATCTTAGTTTCCAGCACCTCAGAATCTGTACTTCATTCAAAGCGCTCAAATCTTAAGAAAGCCTAGAAAAATCACCCAAGACCAATCGTGGGATCCTACACTTCTGTGCCTTTCCCTTACTGAAATAAAGATTCGCACTCTGGACAGTAGGGGAAGCAAATCCTTAAATAAAATTCTTCTTCCTGTACTGAACAGCTCAATAAAAAAAAAAAACACAGAACGCTAAAACCCTGCGGCTTTTCAAATTTAAGAACGAAAATGGAACTAAATTCGCTCAATTTATTCTTTTTAAGAGATTAAGGACAGGGCAGAACCTTTTAATTCAGGTCTTCCACGGGTAAGAACTCGTTTTAGGAGATTGCCGTTCCAAACGACGGAACCACGGTAAATACTTTAGAATACTACATCTACTGAGCAGAACCTTTGATAAAAATTTATTTCGCTTGTCAACAGATGTCCTTCCAAATAAAGCAGCAGGGCTAGCTAATGCATAGATTCCCAAAGCTTTTGCCATAGAACGACTGAGTGACTTATTCTGAATTATAGAACTATGACCTTTCCTCAATAGGTCACTTTGATGCTGTGTTTATATTTTGCGTCCATGAGTAAATGAAAAATAAAAATACCCACTTTCGTTCGTTCTCGCAACCTTGTCTCACTTGAGGCGTCATCTATCATATCAGAATTATCACTGCTCCCCTCAGAATCGTTTCCGAATGACGGAACAGATGAACCCATGGAGGAACATTCTTCGCCTGAAAACAAAACAAAGTTAATAGAAGTATGACGCTATGGAAAGTTTTATAACTGGACATAAAAGCAAAGCATTAGCCATTCAGCGTTTATCAATTTTTTTGGGGTGGTCCACGGTTATGTAACGGCAGGACCACGCAGCGTCCCGCGCGACAAACGCTAATAGCGTAGGGTTTATTTTTGCCACAATGACATTTCGCTGTTTTTTTTCAAATCTGACAGTCCGTCGTACCTCAACGATACGACAAGAAGTACAATCTCTGAGAGTATGCTCCTGGCAGCCTTACGCCCCTGAGTCGTACTGAATGCGAGTATGCTCTCCAAAAAAAATTCCATACTTTTCTGGGAGGTCCGCAGCAGATATGGAAGACGGTTTCGTAATTCCCCGTCCGAAGACCTTTCAGCCGGTATACATTTCATTTCAAATGGCCACTTCGTCCTACCATCCTTCCCTTGTTGGGCTGGCTCCCGACAGTCGCTGTTCCGGTCATATCGCATTCAGTGAGCCACCGCGATTCTCAATGGAAGTAGAACGCGCACCGCATCTCAAAAAGCTACGCAGAGTTTTTGACTACGGCGAACATTTTACGCTTTTCATGGCCTACACAGTGCCTTGACAGGACCAGCCGATGGACAGACGGAAAAAAAGGTTATGAAGATAATGATAACGGATAACCCCGGACAAGACTCTCAGAACATTGCCGTGGTGAGCAGCGCCACCTGCCACTACATCACGCCCGCCTTCACCGTAGTTTGTCACCTCTTACGAATGGAATTCGCAAACAAAAGCTACAACTGGTAAACGCGTTCATTACTTCACGAACCATCGCTTGGATCGCGTGGCTGAACTGCCGAAGCATCTATCGGCAAATGGATTCAGTTTCACGCGTTTATGGAGGGCATGAACGCGGCCCAATCGAATTCTGCCGCCAAGATCCACAAATCAACACCGGAACGCCCTCGGTTGTGGTCGCGCGAACGGATCGCGAAGTATGAATGCGTTTCAGGACCCCTCTGTCCTTTGCCTGCACAGCGCAGCGCGTAGCTGAAAACACAGGAAACGTCCGCTGCACCAGATCTACCAATACAAACTCTAAATTTGCTAGGTTCAGGAAAAACTGAAGGACACAATGAACGACTGAATCGACTGAACTCACCACAGTTTATAAAATCCGCATGAAAGGTGTAATCATCCATGCAGACGTCGAATGACGCCCCAGATCCACCTTCACATTGCGAATACCGTTGAAATGATGGTATTAAAGAATTTTGATGAGTAGATATCTCCATTATAACCAACAATAGTGGGGCTATGAAGTGGACATAAAATGAACCTAAAAGAAAGTTATAAGCGGCAAGGCAATGAATATTCAACAATGGCATAACTGGTCCGAACACGAACAACAAAGAAACTATAGCGGTGAAATCAAGTCATAAGAGCTTGAAGAGGAAATGACTACTCGGAGGTCGCTGTTTTACTCGGAGGTCGTGAACAAAGGAAAAGGAAAAGAAAAGGGAACAAAGGAGGATCTTCAGACAGTTTGCAACCGCTGGAAACTTTGGATGGTAAAGTGCAGGGTAAGCGAGAAAAAGTTGAAGAGTACACTTAAATTCGAAACTCAGGGATATTATTACTATTTTCCTTTGAAGATGAAAAGGAGAAAGTTAGCACTTTCGAGGAATGCGTGGAATAGGTGGAGAACCCATGATCAGGGGAAAAGCGCGACCGGAGAACTAGCGACACAGCATTAGATGAGTATCGATTGACTGGATTACGCACTTTCTGATCGCTTTCCGATTCATCAAAAAGGCTAGGGCAGAGACCGTCGCTAGTATCTAATACCTCGACGTTCTCCGGAATTACGCATTCTCCATATGCAAATTATGAAAGGGCACTACTGAAATATTCCTACCCCAAAAACTCAAAAACAAAAATTTCCGCTGAAACTCTGCCTACAGATGTTTGATCACGAATATGACATTCATTTCTGGCGCTGGCGTCATTTGGCGCCAACATGACGCTACCACTTTTCTCACTGATTTTGATGAAAACTTGCGTAATGGGGCCGTGATGACCTGACCACGAATATGACCTTTACTTTTGACGCTGGCGCAATTTGGTGCCACTAAGCGCTTACTTGGCGCCACACCCTTTTTCCCCAAAACTGATAAAACTTGCATAATGGAGCCCTGATCACAAAGATGCCTTTTATTTCCCTACACTAGCGCCACTTAGCGTTCTGCTAAGGCTGAACCTGGGAGAAGAAGTGATTTCCTTCAAACCATGCTCAACAATAGTAGAGCGCAGGAACAGGAACATAGTGTCCTACATTAGCGCCGGGGCCAGAAATAAACTTCACATCCAGGATGACAAATAACCCTCGTAGATAAGTTTCCATCGTTTTAGTAAAGTAGGGTGTGTTGGCGCCGACGCCTGAGGCGCGCGCCAGGCGGTTTTGGCCCGAGCCGGTGCTATATTCTTGTTCAGCAGGTCAAAATCCCTAGGACAGGTTTCCAACGTATTTGGTGACTTAGGGTATTTTGGCGCCGGCACCTGTGACGCGGGCGCCAGGCCGTTTCGGCCAAGCGGATGTGATATTCGCGTTCAGGAGGTCGAATCCCGTAACCAGATTTTCAATCGACTGCACTCGTAGAAAAAAGTCGGTACAAACCGGCCTCATTTTGGATGACTGAGATAGGAATAGTTCCGACGCGAGTAAAAGGACTGAGTTCAACTTGTCCGTAGAACGTCGAGACTATTCCTCCGCCACTCTGGTAGTCCGCGCTTTCAGCCATGCTTAGAAGGGCGCACATACGCCTCACAATTAGTATTAGGTTGTCCGGAAAGTTCTCAGCGTTTTGAGTGTTTCACTTTAAACGATCATAACTTTCTTAATACTCATCGGATTTAATCGAAATAAGCACCGTTCGAATCAGCACTTTTGCCAATGTGACACCAGTCGATAAATCCCATCAAAGGAAAAAACTGGGTGGTCGAGAATCCACGAAGGCTTTTTTGCCTGGTCCTGATTGATGAAGTATTTTCCAGCAAGGAAGTTCTGAAAATGTTTGAAAAGGTGATAGTCGGTTGGTGAAAGGTCTGGAGAATATGGCGGGTGAGGTAGAACTTCAACCCCTAATTCCAGAATCTCCATTCAAACTTCCACGGTAACTTGGTGGACTTCTCTGACCAGCCACTCTCTTTCTGGTATTCTCTACTCACATGTATCTCACCGGTATATACAGTTTTGGCAAAAACTTGATGACATGAAATTTCTATTAAGTACTGCAGCAAAACTCAGTTCAAAAACCAATATATAGAATATGAAGGTGAATCAGGTTGACAAAGAGAACGCAGATACAACTCGCTCGGAGTGAAGATAGGATGTCGAAAAAACCGCCGAACTGGACTGAAAAACTGTCAAACTGGAAACTGTCGCCAGATGAGCGTAGCCTAGCCTTTCCTTGAAATTCCATGCATTGGAGAATAATCACGAGAGCATCAATACAGCATGACCAACTATCCGCATAGACTGGACAGCGAGAAAATATCAAGGTCATATAGTATGACGACAGTCCCATTCTGTCTAAAATATGCTACGAGTCTCAGTGTAAAAACCGAGAAACAAATTGACTGCAGCGATAGCATAGCGCTGCAAACTGGATGTGCTTCAAAGTTTCCATGTCGTATCGTCGGCGTGACCACCACTCGCATACACTAATATGAAAGTTTGCAGAATTGTGGAATAGAAATTTACAGACGTTCACATACGTCTTGGAGGGGAAACCGGCGCTATTTTAGTAAGGTGGGTCACATCGGACAAGCCAGTTCTATTCACTTATAACTATAAGTATTTGGCATCTTCTAGAAAGTCGCTAGCTAAACAACTGCTTGTCACATAGTTGTCTTTTTTTGTTTTTCTCGCTGCATGTTTCCTTTTTGGGATGTGATTTGTTTCGTTGGTTCGTTATGGTTTCGTGACTTCTTTTTCTTTCTGACGTTGCCTTACACAACGTACTGAATAAAGAAAGTTTATTACGTGGGCATAAGGCATACGTGAGGAAAAAAAGATCGGAACACATTACGTATACAAGTTCCAATATTGATATATTAGTTACAATTTTTCAAAAACAGTAATTCCAGCAAATCACCAACTTATCGACCAGTCTCAAGAGAGCTAGACCCACCATACCTCAATAACCTGTTGGAAATACGGTGTCTGAACTGAGCATGTGACAAAGTGGCAGGTATGGCTTTTGTTAACTTCAAATACGCGCCCTGAAGGTGAAGCTCTTTGGCACGTAAATTTAGTCCTTGGGTTTTGAAGAAAAAAGAAAAGACTCCACTTCAGTCTACTTCAATTCCAACTAGAACTCCTCTCACTGGGAGAAAACAGAGGCATTTTCTCGTTGCCTGACCATCAAAAGGAATGAATAAAACGAAGATGATGAGGAGAAAGGCAGGAATAGAATATACCGCGTTGTTTTGGTGCAAGCCGTGGAACCACTGCTAAGGGTTTTTTTTCATAAGAAACTGCGACAAAACCATTTCGCCTGATCTCAAGAAGAGGAGGAGCTCCAGGATAAGCGAAGAGGGTCACCGATTCCCACCCTCTTAGGTTCAAGCAGAAATCTTCATTAATGGTCTCGCAATGGTTCTTTTCCACTTTTCTGAGCAAGGTGTTCACGCCAAGAAAAAGAGAATATGACGTGGTAACAAAACTCAAAGCGCAAAACTTTGTGCAGCAGTTGCGAATTACCGAGTCCAACGCCGCGTTCGACGACTAGCACAGAAAGAAACCCTCTTTTTTTCCGTGACTGGATCCCTGATTGACAGGTATAACGAAAATAATAAGATGGATTAATATGGGGCAGGGCACCCAGGACATTCAAAACCACGATAAATATTAGAATTGACATAGTTGACGACCCGCCGGCGCTAGCCCTTGTTTCAACCCAGGCTCAAATTTAGTGGATACTGCGTCATCTCTGCGTAACTATCCCTCCCAAACCTGTTTGCTGCGCTCTAACCCAAGCTCTTTCAAGGAAAGGATTTCTGATGAGCAGAAATAGAGAGAACCATGCAATTAAAACAAATTAGAAAGGAGCACTTCTGTCCCGCCTTACTGGAACAGCAAAAAATTTAAACCACGAACATTACAAAGAGGAAAAAAACTTGCAAAACAACTCGTCATCAACGAATAAAAAACGTATTACGTCTACTGTTACGTTATGCTAATGGCCCACTATCTATTCATCGCATCAGTTCCCGTGAATCGATACCAGCAGCAATACGGGTCTGACTAATGATGAGGATCTCCCAGGAATCACGTAGTCACTAGAAAGTTAGTCATCAAGGTTATGACAAATTCGCCTATTTAATCACTGGATAAGGTTGAGTTAGATGGTGTCCACCAGTTTCAATGAACACTAAACACATTCCAGAGCACATATCGGCCATGGAGGGGCACATTCTGCATACAGCGCACATTATCGTTGCGTCCCGTCAAAGAGGAACCATTATCATTGAATCCTGTCTGAGGGACCCAACTGACCACACGTGAAGGGGTTTGAGCGCAGTTCGGCTTCATGAGGGCAACAAACATACCCAGTCAAGTCAGTACAAGCTACCCTATGGAGACCTGCAAAGTTTTGAGAACAAAGTGGCTCACTTTCATAACTTTTTACCTTCACAGAACTTTGCTTGGGTTGACAAAATGAGCCCTGTTAGTTAATAAAACTAACAGAAAGAACTAGTGATAGGGTAAAATGTCCCTCCCAGGCCGAACAGCGCTGGCGCTTTTATTTGGCCTCGAGGAATTTTTTACGACTGTTGGTTTTTACCCTTTATTGCGCATTATGCTCAGCTCTCCCCCGTTTGGCAGCGCACCAAAACTACTACTTCTAATAGTCAGTCAAGGTTTCTATTCCCTCCCACTTCGGCGAAACTTCGAGAAAATCTGGTAAAATGGTAGGCAGGTTGAGGAAGGGTTTAGTGATGACAGAGCCATTTCTCTTGTTTGTAAACTGCTGTATAGCTATGAAATGTTATGAGCTTCATTTCCGACAGTTTTTTGCACAAAGGATCAGCTCTACCCAACCAGGAGCTCCTATTCTCAGGAGAATCATTAATCAAATCGAAATCTTCATAGCCTCCCCCCTGGCTCAGGAGTCTTTCTCGCAAAACCTCGAAGGAAAGGCCACATATATCCCACAGTGAGGCGGGTCGTAAATGCGGCCCCAGCACCGCGCATGACGGGGTCTCGCGAATTTCTGCCCCATCCAAGTAC